GCGTTTATGTTTCATTGTAAAGCGAGCGATACATATCTGTTTTGGATGATTTCCAAGTTACTGCTCTTCTACCAAAAGTAAATACATACTCATTTGTGAATTTTACTTTATTAGACTCAGTGATCCAATTTACATCATTATATTCTTCAATCATGACATAAATTAATTGTAATGCAAGATATAATATTGTGTATGTTTCGAATATCCCGAAACTTGCCTCATTGCCATCCAATGAGTTTGGTTAGGATTACTTCACAGGTGCAAGATCCATTCTATTAGGTGTTTGATCAGGGAATTGAAAATCAAGATAGGGGGTGAATCTAAAATAATTTACCGTATTTGACTAAGGTAGAACTTTAGTTGGATTCTCCTACAAGTTAGTATCACAAGTACTGATAATCAAGGTGCATAAAGTAAATTAAGATAAGATATTTTAATGATTTTTTAGATCATCAATGTGGTGCCTAGTTCAATTTCCTTCGGTTACAACAAGGATTTCCTTTAGATTTTTTGGAAGAACCTCTGAGTATAGATGATTTTAATATCGATTATATCTTATTCAAAGTCAGATATATCCTAGTTTGACATAGTCTTTTACTTCTGTAATCTTAAAGTCTCTTCTTTTTTTTTAACCTTTTCCTTATATTTATAATCTATCCAGCTTTTCTTTTCTAGTAGATGATTGCGCTGATTTGTGTGTAGCGAATTTAATCACTTGTATAGTGACTCAATCCTTCCCAAATTATTTCTTTTAGTCATTCATTTTTTATGTTAAAGTAATATTTTCATTATTAAAACTTAACACAATCTATTAATCTCTCTCTTTTTGATAATGAAACACAAGTTGCACAAATAATAGTTTTGTACTTGATTGTTTAGTTTCTAAACTCCCCTTGCTGAGTGCATATATAGTGAAGAAACCTTACCCCAGAACACAAACCAGGTTCGTGTAAGTTGCTTTTAAGTAAAGACAGAGTAAAGACACAAACACTTATTAAATTAAAAACCTTCCTTACTCAAGGAAGGAAAAACCTCGTTTTATTATTCAACTATAAGATTTTGTGATTACAACTTAATAAACAAAAGTCTTATCTCTACTACTCCCTCGATTGACTCCAATCGATCTCTCCAAAAGGCCAAACCCACCTTTTGTTACAACTCTGACTAACACTCAACCCTACAAAGAGCCAAACCCACCCTTTGTACAATAAACTGTAAACTACAATTAAGAACAAAAACAAGACAAATAGTTCTACACGATAAAACCTTCTCACTCAAAAATGTTTTAAACGTAGCAATCCTATCAATCTTGAAGACCTCAGTTTGATGAATAATTCTCCTTTGTTCTCTGCGTGAAGTCGTGTTGTTTTCCTCTGCCTCGTACTCTTCTTATAGAGTTTTTGCCTTGTACAATCCTTCCTGATAAGGTAAGAAAGTTATGTTTAAACAAGGATTCTTCTTTAAATTAGAATCCTTATTATACACAACTTCCTTCCTTAATAATATATTTAAGGTTTTCCTTATTTGTATTAACTTGTACCTTTAATATATTATTTTGGCTTTGACAAATAACTCTATTTTACTTGATCTTGGACTCTAGCTTGACTTCTTTTGCTGCGTACATTTGCTACTGTTCTTTGTGCTTTTTGTCTATCATCAAAACGAATTATCGATTCTATCACATTCTATCACATTCCCCCTTTTTGATGAAGACAAACGTGTAACGTGTGATGCATGCGCAAATAACTCTTCTCCCTTTTGACGAATCAAAAAGAAACCAACAGCGGCTAATCAACACTAATCAATATCCATAGCAACGAAATACGCCCAGCCAGTTGAGCAATATAAATTGTTCTGGCAACAAAACAATGAGCACCAATACAGAGTGAAACCAACTAAGAGAACCAGGTTCAAACAACATGCTTTATCACTGTGGAGGTTGACCAGGCTTAGTTGAAGCAGAAGCCAGCATATCCAAAACTCTGTCAACTCTTGCATTGTTAGCAAGTTGCTGCTGCACTAACTGATCCTTCAACCTTTGTATATCAGCATTTGAGGAATCAAGCTCAGCACGTAGCTTCTAGTTGTCTGATTCAAGAGAGGCGTTCTTTTCTTCAGCTACTTTAAGTTCCCTAAGTAACTGAGCAACAGG